TTAGCACAATGCTGATGCATAATAACAAGTTGAATCATCATTCAATTATCATGTATTTCTAACTTGGTATCAAAGCATTGACCATGGCCAACACCAGTAACACTACACAAAATATTAATCCAAATTTTGCTCATGCATCCATCTCAAGCGGCAAAATTGCTCCAGTGCAAGGAAGCAATCATCTCTCACCTTTTGGTGTTAATCTAACCTAAGTGGTATCAGTCAATTTGGATAAAAACAACTTCTTACTATGACAAAATATGATACTGCCCATCATCCGTGGTCACAGCCTTGAAGGTTTCATTCTGGAGACAAAGGTGTGCCCTTAAGAATTCATAGGAACTCAAGTTATTGGTGAAGTTGGAACCAGTGTTGAAATAACCAAAAATCCTGAATACAATCAGTGGATGTCAGCAAACCAACTACTAATAGGTTTGCTTTACTCTTCAATGACTCCAGACATAGCCATGAGACTTATGGATGCTTGTAACTCAAATAAACTATGGACTGTTGTGAAGGAAAGCTACGGAGTTCAAAATAGATCCAAGATCACCTTTCTTATCGATGAACTTTAGAAATCGAGGAAAGAGACTATGAGCATTGATCAATACCTGAACAAAGTGAAGCTGTTAGCAAACAATCTTGAAATTGCAGGTAAAAATATTCTTCACTCTGATTTGGTCATTCAAGTCCTAGCAGGTTTGGATGAAGAATACACAACAATTGTTGTTCAAATCAACAGAAGATATAACATTACTTGGGGAGAGCTGCAATCAACACTGATGATCTTTGAAAGCAGATTGGAACATCTCAACATAGTAAGAAATGAAATGGCAGGAATAAACCTTGATCAAACATCAGTAAACTTTTCTCAATGGTCTGACTCCAACTATCATCACATCAGATCTTACAGGCCAGTCTCCAATGGAAGATTCTCAAGTCACAACAACTTCAGAGGTGGAAGAAGAGGTAGAAACAGAGGTGAAAGTTTCAATAGAGATGATAGACCTATATGCCAAGAATGTGGAAAGGTTGGTCATAAGGTTAATAGCTATAACTTTAGGTATGATGAAAGATACACAGGAACATCACCAAATCAGAGGACAAACTACAACCCTTCACCAATAGCCTTTATGGCATCTCCCTGTACCGTAAATGATCCAGCCTAATTTGCTGATACTGGAGCTAGCAACCATATCATTGCAGATAAGGGAAACATCATTTCTGCAAATGAGTACACTGGTAATGAAAAAATCATGGTTGGAAATGGAAACAAACTGCATATTTCACATTTTGGTATGACTCATCTCCCAACCTTGAACAATAAAGCACTTTTGTTTAACAAACTCCTTCATCTACCTGAAATCAAGAAAAATCTCATTAGTATTTCACAGTTAACTTTTGATAACCAAGTCTACATGGAATTTCACGCTAACTGTTGTTTATTACGGACAAGCTAACGAGGGAAGTGATGCTGGAAGGGAGGCTTAAAGAAGGGTTATATAAACTGGACTTTCCTTACCAAAACACCAAATGTTACTCTTAGAAGTTTGCTTTTTCAAATAAACACTGCTGCAATGTCTCATCTGTTAATCTCAGTCAAAAGTCTTTGAATTTTCAAGTTGATGTATGGCACAAAAGACTTAGACATCCATCCAACCAAGTGGGGTCTCAAGTGCTCAAAATCTGTAATTAAAGGGTAAAAGAAAATGAAAGCAGACCTTTTTGGTTAGTAAATCTCATCTATTGCCATTTTCCTCTTCCACTTCACACGCTAAAACACATTTAGAACTTGTGCACACGGACCTATGGGGACCAGCACCAATTCAATCAACATCTGGATTCAAATATTACATAACATTCCTAGATGACTTTAGCAGATTCACTTGGATTTATCCCCAAAGACAGAAACCTGAAGCACTAAGTGTTTTCATCCAATTCTAGAAACTGGTGGAAAACAACTTTACAAGAAAAGTAAAACTCTGCAAGCTGACTAGGGAGGGGAGTATAGAACCTTCAAAAATTTCTTAACACAAGAGGGGGTCGAATTCAGAAACCCATGTCCTTATACATCAGCTCAAGACGACAGAATATAAAGGAAACACAGGCACATAACAAAAACATGCCTGACTCTTTTAGCTCAAGCCAAAATGCCTTTGAAATATTGGTGGGAATCCTTTCAGACTACAACTTACCTTATAAACAGAATGCCTACACCGGTACTTAAAATGCAATCCCATTTCCTAGTTCTATATGAAAAAGAAATTGATTACAAATCACTAAAGATCTTTGAATGTGCTTGCTATCCTTGACTCAACCAGATGGCTTAATTAGTTGCTTTAGAAGCTGTTATATACTCTACGTCAGTAGTTGATTGAGCAACCGTTTCTTGCTTAATTGAAAATTCGTGACTAAAAATATAACCGTGATATTAAAATTCGGTAATCTGTGACTAAAAATATAATTCGTGACCAACCATTTTGTTATCTGTGACCTAAAAATTATATAATATGTGACCGTGAAAAAATCTGTGACCAACTAATTTGGAAATCTGTAACCGTGTGACCTATAAATTT